CTGTCTTACAGTATGATTTCAACGCAAAAAATTTCTCGATGTCCTCCAATGAGAAACAGGACACCTCTGTACAGCTGGTTCTGGTGATGACTGCAGTGGACAACTGATCCAAGTAAGATGATCGTTGTAGAAGAGCGTGGGAAGATCAAAGGATTGCAGAAACGAAAGATACGATGCAACTGCAGCATATGGGAAGGAAGAGAGCAACCGGAAGAGAAACGCTCCGGGAGCTCCGTCCGGTCAGAGCACCGCGGTGGCAAAGATGCACCGCGATGAAACCGCTGCTGATCAAAGTGAAATTTCACTGTAGGGTGTGGTAGGTCAAATCCGGCAGTTGTTCACTTACCGGATCTTCTTCCCCTCCCTCTCCCCGTCCCTTCCTCCCCGCCTCGACGTTACTTTTCGCTTTCTTTTGGAATTCTCCTGACAGACGAAAATCTCGGACCCAAGTTCCTTTCAAGGATTATGCGCGGATTTTTGGGTTTTCTAAGTTTCAGCACTAGTATAAAGGCTTTGGGAATTACTCCCCCGATCTTTGGCAAGGGGTCGAAGGCAGGGGAAGAAGGACGGACCTTTGTCTGCTATCTTCTAGGATTCCAAAGGCGGTCTAAAAAGCGCTTGCAACGCTTCAGCCTGGCAAAAATCGTCAACTTCCATACATTTTACGAATCATACCGTGGTCAGCGAAACGCATAAACGAAACGGACGAACAGCCGACAGTCCTGGGAAGTCAAATCAATACTCCCAGAAACGCAAGCGTATAAATCCAGGATTATCGACCGAGCGAATGCTATGATTCCAGGACTGCTGGCAATACGCCTAAATGCAGTTCTGACACATTGAGGGTATTTTATGCGAAAAAGCATGCACCTTTCGTCGTGCATCTTCTCATTCATTTGAACACTCTGCTGCTCCCCTCCCCCTCCACTGCACTATTTTCGAATGCACAATTGCAATCCCGAAGAGCTGGCAACTCTTAACAGTGAGCATCTTGAAAATCGTTGCGATCATGCATTTCTGAGGCAAGCTGCTGCTGTTGCGCTAACTGGATGATTGCACCGGGTCCCACTATATTAGGAATACATGCGACTTAATGGACCGAAACATTCCGCTTCAGTACGTATCTGCAAGTGATATCTTGTCTGTCACCCACCCATTGCAAACTTTATTGAAATCTCAATCATTTCACATTAAAGTCAATGAAACATTTTATAAAATAAAAACGTTGTAACAACAACAGCAGTAACAACAATAACTATAACATCAACAATGATGACAATAAAAGTGACAGCGGTAATTTTGGATGCTGTGCTCAAGTTCCGCAGAAAGACGGTGCGGACAAGCTAACAGATTTCGAAGAATACACATAAACAATTTGTTGTGAATTTTCTATCATTTTACATTCAGGGC